TGACTTTATAAGAAGAGGAAGACCCAAGTTAGTATGATTGTTCCATCTTGCTATGTGATATTTTCTGTCCCATTGCGACACAGCAAGAAAACTCTCTCCAGATGTAAGCAGATGCCAGCATGATATTCTTGGAATTTTCTGCTGCCAGGACCATTAGCTAGTGCTTCATAAAACACATGGTCTTGGGTCTTCTGTTACAGCAATACAAAACAGACTAGGGCAGGTCTCCTGACAATGCATCACCTCTGTGCCCTAGAAGCCACTGGCCACTGTTGCATTCATTATTTCATAGAAGACATAGTCTCTGTTCTGAATAGGCCTCAGATGAGTCCATGGTCCCTGACTCCATCAACTCTCCCATGTTTGTGTCTGTCTGTGGGTGTCATGGATATGAGTTTTCTACAAGACGGAGGTAGCAGGGGATGGCTAAGCAGGAGGATTTTCAATATATATTTCAATATAAGGTACCAGGAAGGGTTGAACGGTCTTCCTGGCTGTCATATGCTCTGGAGAATCTGGAATTGAGTTTCTATATTAAGGCATGAGGGCCAGGGGCCCTTTTGCCACCACCAATTTATGTGGACAATTCAGTGATATCATAGTGTTCTCTGATCCACCTGGATGCTGCTTAAGAAGCCAAAACCCATCATTTGCACTGGATACTGTCATTTTTAAGCAAAGAAATCCGAGTAATGTGAGCTAAAGGGTCAATGAGACAACACAGAGGTTAGGGAAATGTGAGACACGGGTCAACATGATATCAGAGACATCAGTTCAGTGGGCGACACAGGCCAATGCATGCCACAGAAGTCAGTACAATGGAAGACACAGGCTGACGTGATGTCACAGAGGTCAGTACAATGGGCTACACAGGCCAATGTGATGTCACAGAGGCTAGAACAATGGGAGACACAAGTCAATGTGGTGTCACAAAGGCCAGTGCAAGGGGGCATACAGGCCAATAAAATGACACAGAGCCAAGAGCAATGGGAGACACATGCCAATATAATATAATATCTCAAAAGCCACAGGAATGCGCAGGCCAGGGCATGGCTCAGTGACCAGTTCAGTTTTTCGATGTTCTTTCTCCAAACCAGATGGTGGATTCATTCAATGTTTTGACTATGTCATATGTGTCAATTCACTAGGTAGATGGATTCTTTTCTATGTCCCCAAGCTGGATTGTCTTAATATTCAGGCACTGTCCACCTTCGCTTGTCACAAAGTCCAGATGCTAGTGTTGTCCCTGTTCCATTTGTGTGGTCCTAAGTGGAAAGTGTGGGCTTGATCTTTTCCTTTGTCTCTCATCCATCTAACCCCATGGAAGGTGAGTTAGACTGGTTAGCTTAGGTGACTGCTGAAAATGAAGCCACCATAGCTTATTGCAAGTTAGAAGTCAATGAGAAGAAATTAGAAGCAGAGACCAAACTGGAGTCCAAGTCAGCGGAAGACCAAGCATAGACTAGATGGCAATCTGGGAATATGGTGAGACTGTGAGAGCTTGGGAAGGAGGAGGAACATCTCTCAGTAACTGCCCAGGAACAGGAAGGATCATAGTAATGTGGGGCTTCTCCATGGACCTTGGAAGATGATGGCTGTATTGACAAACGCCACACTTGCTTCCTCATTCCGAGAATCTTCAAACTGGGAATCCAGTCCTTGGCTAAGCCATTGTTTGTTGAGTTACATAGACTTGAAGACTTCTAGGCTGATCTTATTTATACAAGTAACTCAGGGTAAAGAAGGGGATGGGATAATTTCAGAATAAGCTGGGGGTGCTAATATAGGAAGGGGAGTGTCTATGTGTTTATGTATGTGGACTTGCATGTGGTTGTGGTTTGTGTGTGTGTGCTAGTGTTTATGTCGGTATGGGTATGTAAAGTAGAGTTAAGTGTGCCTGAGGAATGTGTAAGACTGCGTATGAGTATATGATTGAATGCTGTGTGTTAGGTAGGAGTGTCAATGTGTGAGAGCCACATGAGTTTGTATGTGTGCATGTGAGTGCATGCATGTATGTATGTTGGGTAGGCATACGTGTGCGGGGAATGGATAGAATGTGAACGCTGAATGGAGTGTCCAACAGTACTTACTTCAAATAGCAATCTGGATTGTATCTAGAAGGGAGTATCTGGAACTAATATCCATCTCAATTCCTTACTCCCATGACAAATATCCTGTGGTTGAGTTCTGCAGTTCTGATCACACAACTTTTCTCTTTTCCATCTACTAGAGAAAGACATCCTAGCATGTGCCCGATTCATAGGGATTTGCCTTGCAAGATGCACACCCAATACTCTAGCCAATGATTTAAGGAATGAAGACAAAGGAGGTCTGCTTTCTCCACCTTGACTTTCTTGCACCTTCTTGATCATGCAAGTGTGGGAAAGGGAACCTAAGCTGTTTGGTGGGTAGTGGACTATTTCCGATGACCAGAAACTGGCTATCAAAATATGAATGGAGTTTTCAGGGAAGACCACGAATCCTCAGAAGTTATTTTGCAAGGTTTAGCAAATTCAAGTTGTATCAAAAGCTGAGCTATATACGATGGTGGAGGAGGGGGCTGATTGTGTTCAACTTTAAAGAGCTCCTGGTTCAAAGGAACAGGTGTATATGTAAGAGCTACACTAACCCTTTTAACTGCCATTTCCTGTGGACTCCTAAAAGTACCTGTTCTTATGTTAGAAAGATGTGCATACTGATCTTAGGAAGAAAGTACAACTTGGTGTGATTGAGTGAAAGTTTATTATGATAACTAAGAGACACAGGAACATTTGAAAATATTACGTTTACATTGTTAATCCCCTAAACTAACTGTCCTAGTGTCTTTGTGCTGTCTTCTAGGCTGTTTCTATTTAATTTAAATTAATGTATTTCTCTAGTTACCCAGTGTTTGATCATAGTCTTTTAAAGGTATTTGTGAGCTGTAGAGACAACTCAGTCAGTTAAATCTTTGTCCTGCAAGCAGGAGGACCTAAATTCAATCTTTAGAACCCACATTTACCAAACTAAAGCAGAGTAAAGAAAACCAAAGCAAAAATCGATCACGAAGGATCACACTGATTATCCCAGCACTAAAAAGATGGAGACAGGACAGTCCTTGAGGCTCACTGACCAGGCAGCATAGCCTACTCTGAGAGTTTCAGGCCACTGAGAGCCAGTATCTCTCAGTGGATACCTAAGCTGTCCTTTTCCCTTTACATACACATGCATGTATGCCAGTGATCACAAATGTGCATTTGCACACACACAGATGCACACACACACACACAGAGAGAGAGAGAGAGAGAGAGAGAGAGAGAGAGAGAGAGAGAGAGA